CTTTAATAATTTGTTTATAGTTACTTTTCGCATTATCAAAATTAAAATAACTTGCACTTTTTTACTAAAAATTGTGGTATTTTGATGTTTGAAGTTTGAATAAAAAGACGAAAAGTGGCAATTTTTTAAAGTAAGTCGAGAAAAGTCTCAATTTTCTTAATTTTTCTGAAAATTTTTTTTTATGACATTTCCCTGTCTATGGTGTTAATATACAGTGGGGCATAAAAGCCATACTAACGGTTTTTTACTCATGTGACTAAATAAATCAACCGATTTCATTTTTCGATGTGTTGTTTGAAAGATCATTTAATTGTGCAACATTTTTCCCCAGACACCTATACTTTATCTTTCATCGTTTAGTTGATGCGTTAACTTTAAAAAATTTTGCCAACTGACCGGCTTGACCCACCCCCTGGGGTAAACCGACCAGTTAGGATTTTTATCTATAATATTGCATTTGTATAATCTACTATAACAACAAACATAAAGAATCATGTGAACAATGGTTGTTATAATGTTAATAATAATACAGGATTGGACTTTAATTAAATAAATAATTTTTTTAATACCAAACAAAAATGTTTAAAATTATCAGGGAAACAATATTAAAGGGTCTAATTCTCATTGGAAGCGTTCACTAATGATGTCACGTTTTTGGGAGTAGGGGGGTCTCTACTAAACGTGACACAATGTATTTTTACATGTGAAATTGCGTGACAGGGGGGAGGGGTGGTCTAAAATCCCGAAAAATTGCGTGACATCATTTATGAACGCTTCCATTGGAAGACAATTATTTATCGTTAAAAGTAAATATTTTAATGAAAAAAACATTCTAATTTATAATAATTTTCATGAAACTCTGATACAATGAAAATATCCTATGTCCGGTTTGCCCCTTAGGCTCATTTTGAGAATAGATATTTGTTTAAAAATAAGGTATATATACTACACACAACACTTTTGACAATTTCGCCATTTCGGTGATATTGATTAACCCATTAACGCCTAAAATAAGAAAATTCTTTGCGCAATTTCAACCTATACTTTTATGAATAAAACGGATCATATTTTATACCGCAAGTATATTTTTTATAGGTATTTAGTGTGTTCTTTTCGATTCCGGTGTGAAAAAAAGAATTTTGTTCAACCCAAAAATTAAATATGGCTGTTTTAATTTCAATAACACAAAAGAAATTTCATTTTTTCAAGTTTGATAATTTTTTACCAATTGAACGTGCGTGAATAATATTCAATTCTTATCCATAGAAGCACAAAAATTGTATACTTTTAAGAAACGTAAATTAGAATTTAAAATTTAAATATGGCGGACCAAATATGACGTCAAATATGAAGGAAATTTTGAAAGGGTTGGTCACTATTTTTCAAAATACCAAAATGTAATTAAATTCACCTAAGTTTTCTTACTCGAAGGCTTTTGGGGTCGCTGATTACGAATTCAATGTTATTTTTAAGAAATTCAAATTGGCGGATCCAATATGTCGGACAAATTTTTTAAAATTTACGCAATTGACCTTAATTTTGTCACTCAGGGGTTTTCGTGGTCGCTGATTACGAATTCGATTTTAGATTCCCATAATTAAAAATGGCGGATTTAGTATGGAACAAAATTTGTACTTTATGCAATTGATCTAAATTTTGTCACTCGGTGGTTTTTAGGGTCGCTGATTACAAATACGATGTTTGTTTTCAAAATTTCAAAGTGGGAAATATAATATGGGAAAGAGAAATTAAAAATTTTTTTTCTATACACGCTCGCCTGTCGTGCGTCGACGCAAGTGCTAAAACAGAAGTCAATTTTCAGTGAGCGCTCCTAGGACATTAATAGCTACGTGACTGGTATTAGAACTCCAGAGTAACAAAATTAAGGTGAATTGCATAAATTTAAAAGAAAATTCTGCCATATTGGATCCACCATTTTAAATTTATGAAAACTTACATTAAATTCGTAAGCAGAGTCCCTAAAAACCACCGAGTGACAAAATTAAGGTCAATTGCATAAAGTAAAAATTTTTGTTCCATATCAGATTGGGGGATCGAAAATTAATAAAAAATTGTCCTCGTGGTTTATGGACGGCCCCTAAGCTTATACTCGGCTTATATCATGACTATCAATAAATCTCGGTGTCAATGATTTGCCAAAGAAGGAAGAATACTTCAATAAAATAATTCTTCTAATGTATAATGAATTTATATAAAGTTTTTCTATCGCTTGACTGAACTAATCGAAACAAAAACCATTATTTTGTAATTTGACTTGCTTGGTACTTTGAAAGTCTGGCAACACTGTATTTCTTTAGTCGTGTTGCAAATGTTTGGTATGACTTGTTTACATTTAGTTTTGAGTCGAAAATTGTGTGCAATGTTGCCAGACGTTTAAATAACTGATCAATATACTGTATAAAACAAAATATTTTTACAAATTAATTTATTGCAACTCTCACAGGTACCTAATGGCACTTTTTTTAACAGATACTTAATCAATATATCTGTCTCGTATTAAAAAATGTTTCATTAATTTCTTAATGTTAAGTACTTTGTGGTGAGTAAATATGTTTGAAAATGTACTCAAATTCTCACAAAACTCAATGTTAAAAGTTAAAAACAAAGACGCTTATAATTTTTTTCACAAGTACCAACAGGTCAAAAATTTAACTACATTTTTTTAAAACCTTTATCTAACAGTGGTACAAATTTCAACAAATTGGTAATGTTAATTCTATTTGCGAAAGAACCTCCTTATCATCTTGAAGAAGATCTGTAATTGCATTAACGTTTTATAAACATTGTACAATATAGAATAGTTTATACGAGTTTAAAAAAGGCATGTTTTGTAACTGCCCAAGTGCGAAATGCCAAGACTGCAAAAATGGCCCATCATTGGTCTAGTAATGTCTGCCGAGAATTGGCAGTAGTTACTGGGCCATTACTGGTGTTCAAATGTCCCATTGATGGGCCAATGATGGCGCCGATGGTCAGATTTTCAAATTTTTAAGACTGGGTCAGCTCTCGGCCCAATAATGGCACATTCATAGCAAAGTTGATCAATCTTTAATGGCAAAAATCAATTGCCAGTGATGTGCCGACCATCGGCCCATTAATGGCACATTAGTGGCAAAAATTTTGTGTCTTTGATGGCAAATTATAATTGCCAGAATTGGGACGTAGCTTGGCCCAGGAATAGCACATTAATTTCTATCATTTTGTATCTATGATGGCAAATTATAATTGCCAATATTGGGACGTAGCTCGGCCCAATAATGGCACAGTATCGGTCAGTGTAGTGTAGCTTATAAGAACCCTTTTGCTTTCTCGACTTCAAGTCAGAGTAGCAGAGTGGTCAGAGTGCTAGGCTGTGGTGCGTCAGGTTCAGGTATCGATCCCCGCGAGCGGTAAGAATTTTTCAAATATTTGTAAGTTTGCGTTTAATTTAGGGAAATAAGCTGTATAAATATTATAAATTAATTAGTTAATTAAATAAAAAATATATTTTTTTTTAATTTTGTCAACACTGGGGAGTAATGGCAGCCAATAATGGGCCATTAATGTTTACCGAGAATCGGCCGATGATTGGCTGCCGACGGCCTACCGCGGTTAACCTCCCGACAGTCGGGCCACTATTGTCTGCCAAGAGTAGGCACTGACTATGCCGTCACTGGGCCAGTTTTGGGCCGTTTTTAATTTCGCACTTGGGTGACTTTCAAATCTTTTTTGCTGATAACGAATTCTTGAAATAATACATTTTTCCAGAAAACTGACAATTTAAAGAAATAATTATAAAAATAAAAAAATATTATTATATTTATGTCGTAAAACTGTTCAGTGTGTTAAATTTAATTTTTGGTTTTCGTGTTTTATGTTTTTTTTAAATGCTTTAAACAAATTTGTAATCTTTTTCTAATATTTCAGAAGAAGAAAAAAACGGATCAGAAAGTCTTAGTCACATTTTTATATACACACAATAAAATAAGGTCTTGAGTATCATAAGACAAAAACAGAAATATTGCGCGCGCTTTAGCGCGCGTAGCTCTGCTAGTTAATTATAATTTGTCATCAAAAATATTTAATTTTTGTAATTACATTGACAATAATTAGCCATTACTTGGCCAATTGTTGCCTCATCATTGGCTCTGCAATTAGATGTTTTGAACACCAATGATTGACATTTTCCCAAAGTATTTCTAATGATATTTTATTTAAAATCCAAAATTATAAACATTACAGAAATTTAATAATTCAAAAAAATTTTAAATTTATAGTTTTTATAATTATTATTAGAGTACTAGCATCGCTATAAAGAGTTCTATTATTATTTTCTAATAACATTTTGTTCTAAATCAAAAATCAAAAAAGTTACAGTAATTTAAAATTTAAAAAAAAAATTTTTAAATTTATAAATTCAGAGTTCTCATTAGAGTTATGTAAATTATTGATTTTGAATTTAAAGCAAAATTTTAATGTACATATTTATAGAATTCTTTATTATGATGTAAGAAATCTTTATAAAACTCTCAGAAATATAAAATATATATTCTGACCGACTGACTGACTGACTGACTGACTGACTGACTGACTGACTGACTGACTGACTGACTGACTGACTGACTCTATTAAGGAAAAAAATTTAATACGAATATTATTATTCATATTATAAAATACAATCCTTCAAAATGTTGAAAAATTTTCAAAATAAGAGAATTTCATTTTAAGAAAAATAAAAAAATTTATATCATAGGAATAGTAAATATTTTTTTTAATAATTACTTTTTGTACTCCATTTATTTTTCAACAATTAAAGATACATTATTTTAATAATACAGATTGTTTAATTGTTTAATTGTTTAACTTAATATTATTATAATTGTATTAGTATGATCATTTTGTACTTTTACAATTACTTTAGTTTTTAATATAAAAAAGAGTTTTATATAATAAGAATTGTTTTTAAAGCATAATAAATTTTTACTTTTCAAATTGAAATTTATTTGCTTTTTCTATTAAGTGAACGTATTTTTTTTGAAATGTAATTTTTAATTTCACCTAATTCTTTTTCAATATCATTTGGACTATACCTATTTTGTTTCATCATGTCATCTTTCACAATATCTGCAATATTAAACATTTATTTTATCAATTTACTACTTTATTTGGTTTTAAATAATAATAATAATTATTTCACCTTTTATTACTGTTACTACATTGTCAGGAAATAATTTTCTAGCTTTTCCATTTATAGGTTTCGCCGTTAATAAATTAAAGCAGTATAAATTTAAGTCTTCTGGAATTATTGATGTCACTAAACAATTGCACATTTTAGAATAAGTAGTGCATTTCTTAGCTTTTTTCCAATTCTCTTTGCTAATGAAAATGTCTCCCCCAATATGAATCTGAAATGTTTAATATTTATTTTTATTTTATAAATAAACAATATAAGTTTTATAAATTTTATTTAATTTGTATTTGTTTGTAATATTATGAAAATTTTATTATTTCATAATATTTATTATTATTATAAGAAGGAATTTTAATGTAATAATTTTTTTTTCATTTATTTCAATGTAAATTTCTTCTTCATTTATTTATTTAATTTTTTATATATATTTAAAAAGATTTATTAACTTTTAAATTTATAAATGAATATCTCCATTTAATAACCATCTATTGAATATAAAAATATTGATAAAAAATTTTAAAAAATAATTAAAAAATTTAAAATTTTAATTTTCATAATATTATCTTTTAAATTATGTTTTATCATAACAAATTAAATAAAATTATTTTCACACAACAAGTAATTATTTATAATATATACCTTTCCATCGTACATAACATATTTGGTTTTTTTTATTCCTTCTTCTTTTTTATTTTCACAAGTAGATTTTTCCTGTAAATTAATTTATCTTGTAATTATCTTATAATATTTAAATTTTATTTTATTTACCTTTTTTTCTTTATCATTTTCCTTTTCCACACTCTTCGAGGTGCAAGGTTTTTCATCATCAACTTCTACTGTTGTTGAATATTTCTTTTTTTTTTGATTTTGGTAATTCACAATTATCATATTTAATTTTTCGTTTTAAATCTACAAAAAGTGAATAATTAATTTTTCAAGACATTTTAGTGATAAATATATTTAATTTAAATAATTTTATTTATTAAGAAAGACATTTAAAATTATTGTTTATTACTTTTACCTTGCTCTTTATTTTCTAAAACGGTTTTCTCCTTTAAAATGTAACTTTTTAAAAATTCTACTTTCTTAATCGCCTTTTCCAGTTTTTCTTCCTTTTTAATAATATTCATTTTTAACATCTCTATTGATTGTTTTAATGTTTTCATTTCTTTATCCATTTCATCATTCACTTTTCCTTTCATTACTGAATCACACTTTTGAAGTTTTTCTTCTGTTTTCTTTTCCTCTTTTATATTTCCTTCAATTTTACCAGGAGCAATTATTCCATTCGTTACGCATTTTTCATTACTCATTATCATCTTTCCATTATCCTTCTTTTTTTAAAATAGAAAAAAAATATTTAATTTTATTAATTTGCTTAGTCCTTATTATTTTGAATATAATTTTATAATATAATTACTTACTATAATTAATTAAATAAATAAATAAGTATATTAATTTCGTTTTCTGTAATTGTATTAGACTTACAATTTCCAATCCATTAGTTTCATTTTCTTCTTCTTTTCTTTCCTTCTCTAAATTTCCTTTCAATTTTCCAGCATCAATTACTTCATTCGTATCGCATCCTTCAGTAATTATTTTCACATTTCCATTATCCTTTTTTTGAAAAAAAAACAGAAAAGAAATATTCAAGATTATTAATTTTCTTTTCTTTCTATTATTTTGAAAACAAATTTATAATACAATTACTTATTATATTTAATTAATTAAATAATTAAATAAATAAATAAGTACATTAATTTCGTTTTCTGTAATTATATTAGACTTACAATTTCCAATCCATTTGTTTCTTCTTCTTCTTCTTCTTCTTTTCTTTCCTTCTCTAAATTTCCTTTCAATTTTCCAGCATCAATTACTCCATTCGTATCGCATCCTTCAGTAATTATTTTCATCTTTCCTTTATCCTTTTTTTTAAAAACAGAAAATAAATATTCAAGATTATTAATTTCCTTTTCTTTCTATTATTTTGAAAACAAATTTATAATACAATTAATTACTATATTTAATTAATTAAATAATTAATTAAATAAATAAGTAAATTAATTTCGTTTTCTTTAATTATATTAAACTTACAATTTCCAATCCATTTGCTAATTTCACTACTTTCAAATGTTGTTCCTCTGTCATGAGTTTGACAAAATTAATTGCAGGTTGCGTTTAAATTAAAAGCCTCTCCACTACCTACATTTATAAATTAAAAGAAAAAATTAATAATTAAAAATTAAATCAAATTGAATTTTAAATTGTATCGACATTTTTAAAATAAATAATTTTATAGGCTTTATACTAATATTTAATTTCATTTTTCAATGTATTCTTCATGAATTCTCTTAGTTTTGGCATCCCTGTTCAACATGATCTACTTGTGTAATTTGAAATATACCGATTCATTCTACTTACAAAATATATAAAAAAAAAAAAATAAAATGTTAATATTTATTCTCCTTATTTATAAAGAATGTGAAAACACACTACTCATAAAGAAAATAATTATTTACACGTAGAGATAAACTAAAATTCAGATGGATAAAATTATATAAAGTAAAATTACTTTTTTCTTCGTTAATAATAATTTATTTTTTTAAAATTTTAATTATATAACTTTTATTAATTGTCTTTAACATTCTGTGAAAAGAAAATTATTGTCACGTTAAAAAAAAAGGAAAAATAAACATCGAAATATCCATTTTTCTTTTCTATATCACTGTAAAAAATCCTTTCTTAATTTTCATGTGAATGTGTAAAATTTTCATTTCAATGTCGTATGAATATAACTAGATTACAAGAATTTTAATTATATAGTCCATTTCAATTAACATAATTTCATTAATTTTACCAGAAATGTTTAATTTTCACAGGAGCAAAGTTGTACATAAAGTTACAATCGAGCAACGTGTGAATTTTCAATAAAAACGTTGTGAAATTTTATATGGTAGGATGTTTAAATTTACAGGGAGTATTTGAAGTTCAACATATTTGTTTAATTTTATTACATTTAAAAATTTTATTTCGTAAAAATATATTATTCTATTTTCAATGTATATGTCATTAATTTTATTATTAAAAAAAGAATTTATTTTAATAACTTAAACACATTCTAATAATTATTTTATACAATATTTATATAAAAATTATAAACGTTCAAGAAAAAAAAGTGAATAAAATATATTTTAAGGTTATATTCAGTATATGATTTTCTGTTGAAAATTAATATAAAGAGTAAATTTTATAATCAAAATTTAAAATTAATACGATAATTTGTTGTAACTTTATGTATATCGTGGGTAATATGAAATTTCAATAACAATTTCTTACAGTGTCATTAAGAAATTTTTTAATGTAAACAAAACATTCAACACATGAGTTAATTAAATAGGTTATGTACTTTTATAATATAAAAAAAGTCACAAACTAGAAAAATATACAATTATTATATTACTTACATATACATTAATTAACTATTTCTTTTTATTCATTATAATATACTTTTTTCAACTTAAAATTTATTTACAAACACAACTCATTTCATTAAGATTCACCAATGATTAAAGCAAACATAGATGATTTACCTCTTTCAGATTTCATAAATTCAATTAAGGTGAATACATACAATTGGAGTAAAAAGATTAAGATTTAAGATTTAAAAACCTTTTATCACAAAAAAGTGTTTTATTACACAATGTTTAAGGCAAGAAAAAGGATATTCTTGAGAAAAACCAGCTCTCTTCAACTCCATTGAAATTACCTGGTTCAAATGAAATTGTTTATAACCTCACATTGTGTTGTCAACAATGTTGCAGAAACATAAAATTAAACAAAATCACGAATCACCTTACATTAAAGAAGAATCTGATGTACAGTTAAAACAAAAGTTATTCCAATGTCATAATTTCGTAATTTAAAATAAGAAGACGAATTTTTCAGATCTCAATAAGAAACATTTGTTAAATTTTAGGTTATGTTACTTAAATCGTTTATTATTGACAAAAAATTATATTATATCCGATTGTTTGTCGGATTCTTCCTCAATTTGCAAGAAAATATTAAAGAATGTTGGGTATAATGATATATAACGATGCTTGCCACCTTTGCTCATCGGTTTATTTAAATTTTAAATAATTAGTTTGATAGTTTGGAGGTTATGTTCCAGTAATTTACCTCGTGTCAAAAACTAGTGAAGTAATTTACCTTGTATTTTACCGTAAAAAACCACTTAATTTACCTGGGGTATTTTACGCGCCCAACCCTGAGTGTATGTTCAAGATTCGATTCACAGAGAAATCGATTAATAAATATCGATTACAAAAATCCAATCGGAAAGTCGAAATCGTCCATTTTTTTAAGAATCGAATCGAAATCGAACATCTCTACACTCTAGGCATTTACATACTTAATGGTTTAAATGTTTTGTCATTACAAATAAATTTTTTTTATTGCTGTGACTTAAAAAATGTTTCAATTCAGATAAAAATTTTCGTAAATTTTATTGATTATCACGTGTTTTATAAAGAGAATAAAATTTTTTTCCAAAAATTGATGTTTTTAAGGTAAGTGTTATTCATATTTACATGAGTGCAAAAATAATTATCTTATTTCAAGATGTTTTGTTAGTTATTTTTAAGATATTTTATTTAATTTTTTTTTTTTTATTTACTTTTTATTTACTTTATGTACTTTAATTAATGATACTAAAAGCATTTTGGAACATATATTCAGCATATTTTACGTCACAAAAATTTTGATGTTAGCTATGGGCTTATATGTCAAACATTTTATGTATTTTACTTTTTATTAAATTATATTTTTTTCTTATATTCTTATTATATTATATTCTTATTATATTCTTATATTTTTTTGTATTTTTATTACATATAGATTAAAAAAAACTATAACTATAATCCACATTGAATTCTTATGTTTTATTTACAAATAACAAAAAATATATATTTTACCTGATTAGAGATAATATTTAAAATAATATATTGGATATAAACTAACAAAAGATACTTATATTATTAATTATAATAAATTTTTTATTTATTGGTATTTTGCCAATTTCATTGAAATTTATTTTAATTTAAAATTTTTTTAATATTTTATTTTTAAAAATCATTACTTTTTTCAATGATATTGTTTCCAAGATGCACCACGTGGAGGTAACCAATTCCCTCCTAGTTCGCAAATATGTCCGTCAATCGAGTTCGCTATATTTTTCCTGTAATCTGCAATTGAAACTGAAGATCCCTACCGAATTTCAGCTAATCAAGTTAAGATTTGTAAAAGTTAAAGGTGGAGGACAGGGTAAATTTTTCAATTTTTTCAAAAAAATTCAATTTCTTTCCTTCCTAGTTCGCAAATATGTCCGTCAATCGAGTTCGCTATATTTTTACCTTAATCTTCACTTAAAAATGAAGATCTCTACCGAATTTCAGCTCACTAGGTTGAGATTTGTAAAAGTTAACCGCAGGAACAGGGTCATTTTTTGTAATTTTTTCAAAAAAATTGAATTTCTTTCCCTCCTAGTTCGCAAATATGTCCGTCAATCGGGTTCGCTATATTTTTCCTGTAATCTTCACTTGAAACTTAAGATCCTCACCGAATTTTAGCTCATAATGTTGAGATTTGTAAAAGTTAGGGGGGGGGACAGGGTCATTTTTTGCAATTTTTTCGAAAAAATTGAATTTCTTTCCCTCCTAGTTCGCAAATATGTCCGTCAATCGAGTTTGCTATATTTTTCCTGTAATCTACACTTAAAACTGAAGATCCCTACCGAATTTCAGCTCACTAGGTTGAGATTTGTAAAAGTTAAGGGGGGGGGGACAGCCAACTTTGCGTAGCTGGGACGGACACACGAGTGATTTCATAAGGGTTCCGTCAGTACACCTATGGTGTACGGAACCCTAAAAATGTGCAAATTGTACATTTTTCCTGTATTTGTAAAGGAAAACCTTTAGAAAAGTGATGTGAATTTAAAAATATAATTATTTATCAAACCTGAGTATATATTTCAGTTTAAAAAATTTTTTTGTTTAATACCTTTCAAAACATAATTTTATGCATTCTTTGTGGCAAATGTGCCCATGCAAAATTGTACAATTTTCTTCTCTATTATTAAGAACATCAAAACATACGCAACATTCCATTATTGTTTCTAAATAAAATTTTGAATTATATAAATTTAATAATTATTATAAGTGGTAACCGTCTTTAATGGGTTTTACTTTCGACCAATACACTTAACAGTGTGTCTATACCAAATTAGAAAACCGGGAAATATCCTGATATTTAATGTGATTGAAAAAAAGTAATAATTTTCTACCATTGATTATTTAATAGAAAAATATTATTATTTTAATGAATCATTAAATTCTTATTATTAAATTAGTTATTTTTAACTAATTGAACAATATTTATCTATTTAAACAATTTTAATAATATTATATAAAATATAGGAATTTCAACATTCCACATTAAAGTAAAAATTTATTTTTTTATTTTTTTAAAGTGAATTAATATAAAACAATTTTTTTAATTTAATAAAAAGAAAAATAATCTGTTTTGATCTTTTTTTGCTATTTTCTCAGTCAAATTACAGTATCTGATAATTACCATTTCTCCAATTGGTTGGTGTATATACCATGTTAAGTGCATTAGTAGTAGAGAGACGCATGCTTAGTACCAAAATTTTTTTTCACATAGTAGTTATTTGATATAAATCCATTTAAATCCATTTGATTTATATCCATTATTATATTAGATCTAAGTTTTCAGAAGACTTTTTGTTACAGTCAGAATAATATGTATCAGATGTGTTTGACAAGGATAGGTGCAACGTTGTTTCTTGTGCGAACACTATTATATATTGCAATTTTTTCCTGTTATCATAATAAACAGGAAACATATTAAACTATGTATCGTGTGTGAATAAAAATATTATGTAAACCTCTTAAATTACTTTTTTCTATAAATGAAAAAGTGCGTCAGCGTTTTATTTTAAAAAATAAGTTAATAATTAAAAAAAGTATAAAACATAAATAAAAAGGAAAACAATACAATAAAATACAATACTACATAAAACAAAGTCAATCTAAATTTATACATGGAATTAAAGTCAATTCATTATTATTAATTAATAATTCGTCACTATTATCTTCTTTTCTTCTCTTTCTTCAATTTTCTTTATCCTCGTTAATGCAGCCAATATTTGTTGTTATACTATTTCTTCTTCGTTTTCTGCTATTAACGAGGATTGCGTCCGTTTTGTCTGCTTTCGAATTAGAGGATGAAAGACATAATGAATTTGAGGCCAATTCGTTATTTTTAAAATTATTTTTATTTAATTTTCTGTAATTATAAAAATTTTATTATTAATTTTAATTTCATTATTTTTACTGTAAATTTATTTTTTTGCTTCATCATATTAATTAATTAATTAAATTATAAATTAATATAGAAATTGTTATACCTTTCTGTTTTCAATTTTTCCTTTAATAATTTCATTTTGTATTTCAAATCGTCAATTTTCTTCTTTAAATCGTCATTTTCTAATAATAATAGATCATTGATGCTGAAAAATAAAAGTTTTTAAAATTTAATTTTAAATATAAATATTATTTAATTGTGGATGGAAATTTTGTTTAGATATTTAAAAAGTAGTTATGTTGTAAATTTTGTTTATTATAAATCCATAATTTATTATACTCCCAGCTGAATAAACTCAAGCTTTTGCCCTTCAACAATGGGCCTCTATTATTTATTCAATACATATTTATTTTTAAAAAACATTTAAGGAATAAATTTTACAAATTTATTACATTTACAATTATGTTAAATATATGGTGGATATCACGTCAAAAGTCCACCCAAAATAAAAATGTTGTCCAATTATTCCCTCATTTTTTTATGATATGCCCTATAGGTTAGTAATTTGTCGGATAAATATTTTTGAATTTCATAAAAAATTAAGAGTAGAGATGATTCTATCACTCAGTCGTATTTTAATAAATAGTGAAAATTAACGATCACTCCGAGTCAAGGAAAATAAAAATAAAAGAAATTCAATTCTTTTTACGTTTCGGCAGCACAGCTGTCCTCTTCAGAACAAAAGACAGCTGATTATAAATCCATCTTTTCATTAAGAAAATGAGTATAACAACTACTAAGTTTTAATGTGTCATCTTTTTTATTAATTGAATTTTTTTTGTAAGTTAATGTGGATCATTTCAGAAATTAAGCGTTTTTTAAATGAACCTTCTTTATCTAGTACTAATAATCCATCCTTATCAAAATCATGACCAAGTGAATTGATATGTTCAGCAACAACATTTGTTTTTGAAATTTTGTGCTCATTAATACGAACACCCACCATTCTTTTCGTTTGTCCAACATAAGATGCAGAACAGTTTTTGCATCCTATTTTATATACCGAGTTTGTGATTTCAGATTTTTTACTTATATCTTTTCCTTTAATTACCAAGTTATGATTCATGTTCTTATTATTGGTTGGGATAGTTAGAATACTGTACTTATTTAGTAAAGATGAAGTTTTTTCATAAAGATTGGTAACATAAGGCAAGAAAACTTTCGGTAACATTTTGTAAACCGAATTACTTTTGTTACATTGTGAATTTGACTCAATGAAACACATGCGTTTCTTAATGTGCTTATTAATAAATTCGATGGCATAATTATTATTAATTAGTATTTTTTCGACAAATTCAATGTTTTTCTTATGGAATTTTTTATTCGAAAGTTTATCGATGGGGCATTGACCCTGAAAAATTGTACATCGTTCACTCGTACTTGTCTGTATATTTGTTTAGTGTCATATTGTAATCGTAGCGACAAAGATGTACCTATCTTAATTTATAATTTTAATTTTTCTAATTTTCTTTTTTTTGGTAAATATTTTATTTTTAATTTTTTATTGTTAATCAAAAAAATTTAAAAAATTGTAAAAAATCTTTTTTTAGGGTTCCGTACACCTACGGTGTATCGGCGGAACCCTATTGGTGAGACTCTGTTGTCCGTAGCCAAATCGTGTCCCCCCCCTAGCGGCTAAACTATTTGACCTAAAGAGCTCAAATTTGGTACATATATGTATTTTCACACGTAGATTACAGGAAAAATATAGCGAATGTGATTGGACGTGATGGGCATAGCGTTGTCAA